ACTTCATGCTTCTTGAAACTTCTGAAGCTGGAATCTGTGAGATGCCCACAGTTCCATTAGTGGACACACGTGGAAAGAGCTTTTTCTGAAAATACCTCATGCTTCTGAAACTAAACTTTTGCCCGACCTTGGGACCAAATTTATCCTCTGCGGTGAGACCACTGAAAACTACATACCCAATCTGTTTCTCTCCTACCATTCAGCCTGCTTAAGTTAACGATGTAACCAATGTTTCTATGTCTTGGACTTCCCATGTAATCAGACTTTTCAAGCTAGGCTAAACACAAAGCTTTAGTCTTAAATTATGTACTCTTCCAAGCCCCTGACCCAGAATAGTGTGTGTGTGTGTGTGTTGTAGAAATCGTTTGCTAAAAGCAGACAATAGGTTGAAAGCCACCTTGAAGAAAACAAGTATCCACAATAAATGCATTCTGCAAGCAACAGGTGAATACTGCTCTGGATCAGTAGGTTTCAGTAGATTCTTTCCTTGTAAACACTGGTAAAATATTTGATTTAGACAAGAGACTCCTCATTTCTCTCCTATACCATGCTGTTTGATAACTATATAGCAAAGCTCTTTGCTAGGAACAGGCAACAGAGACAGTCAGAAGACCCAGGGAGAGAAGTGGAGGAATCAAAATTGATTTTCTCTTGGTCTAAACCACTCCAAGAGGGAGGTTTTTTTTTTTTTTTTTTTGATGTTGCACTGATTCCTCACAGGCATGCCGGTGCTGCACACTGGCTGGGATCAGAGGAGAAGGCATGTTATACTTTGACCACAGGTGTCTGTTTCCATTGTTGGATTGGAGCTTGAGCTGAGAGAAGAAGGCATGCTTTCAGTTTCCCCAGCTGGAGACAAGTTGGGGCTTGGTTCCTTCCCTGAAGACTCAGAACAGCTCAGCAGCAGCAGCTGAGTCAGCACCTCACCAGATGGGGTGTTTTCATGCCTGGAGCACAGGCGCCCATGGGCGTCTTTAAGCCCCCTTCACTGGGTGTGTGGAAGCCTGCTGCCCAGGACCTTGGTGACCGCTCTAGTTTGGGGCCCAGGTTATCAGGACTGTTGTGGGGTATTCACCAGGCGTGCCTGACTGAGTTTTCTCAGTGGCTGAGTTTCCCATGGCTGAACTTGAGACTTCCTGTGCCCATTGAAGGTCTTTTTTTTTTTTTTTAATAAACCAGGATAATCAGCAGAAGTCTGCTGGAAATGTTTACCTTTAGCTGCCTTTACTCTTGTGCTGTTTTGCGCTTCTCTCCCTCCCTGTCACAGAGTTAGGGGGACTGACCCATCCCCAGATAAAGGGTCCTGGAGGACATTTGACAAAAATATGCTTGGGTCTGAAGTGGAGAGGGGCCAACTCTGCTTCCAGAGCCAGATTATTAGTGAGTTCGAACAGCACATGACGATTTTACCAATATAACATACATCATACCCTTCGAATCTCTTTGTTCCTAGGCAACACTTTTTTTTTTTTTTTTTTTTTTTTTTTGATTTTTTGAGACAGGGTTTCTTTGTGTAGTTTTGGTGCCTGTCCTGGAACTCGTTTTGTAGACCAGGCTGACCTCGAACTCACAGAGATCTGCCTGCCTCTGCCTCCCGATTGCTGGGATTAAAGGCGTGCACCACCACCGCCTGGCTCTAGGCAACCCTCTTTAAGGCAGCGTCAGATGTTACTGCCTGAGAGAAAGGAAACAACTCCAAGCATGGCCCTTGTCTCGTCATTGTAATGACCTCTGTTTCCACTCTGTCCTGTTTTCATAATTTTCAGTCAAGAAATCCTACTTGACATGTCCCCCTGTTCATAAGCTATTCTGTAGTTTCTGCTTCACCTTCACCCAGTGGGATGACATCTTTGGGAAACTGAGGAAACTACAAGTATGTGAAGGCAGATGGTAAGGTCTGCAAGCTAAGCAAAGTGAGATCTGCTTAGCTACAAGAGAATCTGGAAGAGCCAGCCAAGCAGAGCTAAGCCTTGTGGAGGGTGTGTCAAAGCAAGAACCCAACCTGCTGAGTAAGTTGTTCTGTGCAAAAATCCATCCCATTAGTGGCCGTGGTGTGGATGCCTCTGGTCTGCAGTCTTCTTTAGTCAGAGCACCACGCCTTTACTTACATCACAGAGTTCTGATGGAGTGATAGTTGAAGTTGACTTAGAAATTGGGAAAAATCTGTGACAACTAAGCCTGAATTGGAAGATTTGGGAATGGATGATAAGGAAGGTAAGGACCAAGTTCCTCTAACAATGTTATGCAGCAGTATTCGGTGGTGGGCCAGCCACAAGGAGGACGCTCCTCCTCCTGAGGATGATGAGAACAAAGAAAAGTGAACAGAGCCGGGCGGTGGTGGCGCACGCCTTTAATCCCAGCACTCGGGAGGCAGAGGCAGGCGGATCTCTGTGAGTTCGAGGCCAGCCTGGG